AAAATGGTTAAAACATAAATTAATGAAAGGTAATTCTTACTCTCATTTTTCAAACCATGTTGAAAGAACCTTGCATCATACATGTAACAAACTTGGAGTGCCATTTTTGTTTGTCATCTGTTTGTGTATTTTACAGTACTGGCAAAATTAATAACAATTTGTTTTCAGTTGAGTAGGAATGTAAGTTACTTATATTCAAATGTGAATAAAATTTATTTTTCTGAACACAATTGAATGAAATTTTGCATACTCACTCACAAATGTTTTTCTTCAAATTGCAATTGTATTTGACTCTGTTGAAGATGTCATGACGATATATTGTAAATGACGTCATTAACCCCAGTTACAGTGCTATTCTTTATATTTTTATGGTTTTGAAAAATAAGGTGTCTTCTAATAGTTTTAGACAAAGTTAAGAGGTGAAACAGATATTGCCGATTGCATGGAAATGCTTTTGGTCATCTAACATTGCATAGGTACATTACTGTGACATCATGTGTGCCAAAACATATTCTGACTTGTAAAGGGCACTTGTTTTGCCAATTTTTATGTTCATGATATCATTTGATTCTCTTCTTATTGATATTTGACCATATTATCTGTGAGAGTCAATGTATGTTTGAAAAAGAGATGTGAGATAGTTAGCTGACAACCATCAATTTTACATTTTATCATAAAAAAAACCAAATTGTTCCAAATTCTTTTTTTTTTTATTTTACATTTGCACGTTGGTACTTTTCAGTATTTTGTTTGACAGCCTTTGGCCTTCACCAATACATGGACGCGTTTCTACATTCCGGTGATCAGATGTTGACAGAGCTGGGTGATTTTCTCCGAATGAAACCAAACTTTAATGAGATATCAAATCCACTTTGTTTGTAATTGGTACTTCGTGAACTTAATTTTTCAGAATCTCCCACAGATATTCAATTGGATCAATATCTAGGGAGTTGCCAGGCCACTCCAACACTTCAATTTCATTTTCCCGAAACCAGGTCATCGAACGTGTGAACACATGACATGGTGCAGAATCTTGCGTATATATCTCCATTACCATACCAGTCACGAATTTGTAGCATCAGTCCATGTTCCAGCAAGTTGATATATTGGACACTGCCTTCCACAATGTACAATCTACTTGGATCAAAAATTGAAATAGCACCTCATACCATAATTTTAGTCTTCTTTAGGCAATTAGGGTTGAATTCCTCTCGTGGTTGTCCAAGCACAGACAGAATGCAATCATCCAGAATTGCTCTTGTTGACTCTGAAATTCATAATATGTGTGGATGTTGAACCACTTTATTCCATTCGAAAACCATAAAAAAGAATCTAAAGACATCATGAATGCAAAACAAGTGCCCTTTGCAAGTCAGAAAATGTGTTGGCACATATGACGTCATCATGACGTCACAGTAAATCCATTACGAGACTCCCATGAGATAGTAATGTCCAAACATCAGAAGAAACAGGACAATAAACTTACTAGTTTTGCCCAAAGTGTGACTGATTGGGACAATGTACACAACTTTGATCCTGTCGTATTCAGATTTGAAATTCATGATAGTGATGACCCAACAATTGTTTTGCACCGAGATCTTGGTGGACTTCTAACTTCACAGTTTGCTCCTAACTTTCCTAAAAATGCAGATTCTTCTGATGCGGAAGATGGGGAAGTGTTGGTGAAGGCCCAGGGCCAGATAGTTTGTTTAAACGGGCTGGTGAGAAGTTAAAGAGCCTATTGACTTTGATGTGAATAGTGATTTATATAATCTTGTCAATGACTGGTTCATCAATGGTATAGTATTGTCAGGAACTTTTGAAAGTTGCAAGGCCTGTAAATTGCACATCTCGAGCGTCTCATAGCCGCTCCCGTTATCGTGCCTTCGATAAACAGCCTGCTGATGCATTCTCACACCAAGAACCGTCATCCTCTTTGGGATTCCAATCGTACTGATGGCCTGTAGGGTTTCAGGCAACAGTTGCAAGACTAAGGAGTTTCTGCTGTCACAACCGAAATCATCCTGTCCAGTTGGGGAGATAGCACCAAGAACCAATATCAAAAGTGATTTCTCTACTGTTGTAAAAAGCAGATTGATAGTTTTCAACCATCTGTAACTTCCGTTTTGGATTTTTTAACTGAGTTGTATCAGTGCAACCTTACTTACAGTGCTTTAAACACTGCCTGCAGTGCTTTGTCTGCAATTGGTATTACATTGGAGTTATACTCGGCTGGAACTCATCCATTAGTTATCAGATTTATGAAAGGAGTTTTCAATCTGTGACCTCCAGAGCCGAAACTTAGATGTTTGTGTGAGATGTCTCGCTTATCTGAAGTGATTATCCCCCTTTAACTCCTTGAGTTTTAAGGAATTAACTTACAAACTGGTTATGTTAATTTGTTTGTGTACCGCAGCTAGAGTACAGACAGAGTTAGTAACATGACAAGAAGTAAAACATGTTATACATTTGTCTTTACTGATTTACTGAAGACCAGTAAACCTGGTAATCTATCTCAGGTATTGAAATTGAAAGCCTATGCCCCTGATAAGCATCTCTGTGTATATAGTGGTATGACAGAATACTTGTCTCGAACTGAGAGAGAGTGTAGGAGATTCGCTCTTCATTAGTTTAGTGAAACCCCATAAACCGGTATCGAGAAATACTTTGTCCCAATGGATAAGGGACATTATGACCAATGCTGGTATTGATCAAGAATTCACTCCTCACAGCACCAGATCTGCTTCAGTGAGTAAAGCAAAGCTGTCAGCTCTACTTTACACTCTATGATATACTTTCTCAGGCTGGGTGGTCGAATGTTGGAACATTTGCTAAATACTATAATAAAACTATTCAGAAGAAAAAGGAATTTGCTGAGGCTATCCTGATCTAATGGGGTATTATATTTTTTTCATCCATCAACTTTTTCCATATAGGCTTTGAAGTCTCATCGGAGTCTCGTAATGGATTATTTACGAAATAGAATATAAAAACTAGAGCCACACGTGGCACAGAGTGGGACTTTGCAAATGTAGCAAATTGCAAAAGACCCCGAAAAAATCAACCTTCCACGATAATTAGATCATGTGCAAGAACAGTCAAAAGTTGAGAAATTTTCATGTTTTAGAAGATTCTAATACCGGAAGTATTAATGAAGGTCAAGGTCATCAAAGGTCAAGGTCACATGGTGTGATCGTTTAAAGCTTTTAAAAAATTCAACCAGAAGTTGCAAAAAAGCAAAAGCGAAATTCAAAATTCAGCTCCCAATGTTTTTTGCGCAATCGATTGCAGAATACATTCACATCAAATTTGAGCATAACAACATTTACCCTGAGGCCCCATTTTGAGTTTTTCAAAAGTGTGTTTTTTCAATATGGCGGCCAAAGTATCACTTCCGGTCTGGATTTTATTTTCCTCGTTTTTTTGTAATAGCATTTAATTACGATCAGCATCAATTTCGTTAACCTATTTCAATTACACTGGAAGTTATTCGACCGGAAGTGGATTGTACTTTCAATTGATTCCCCGTTTAAAACCGGAAGTAAAGTTAAATATTTGACAACTGCATATGATTTACTTTAGTGATGTCCCTTTGCATATTAAATTTCAGATCAATCGATGCAAAAACAAAAAAGTTGCAAAATTTGTTCGAAAAAAGTGAGCGACAAATTTTCGAATTACGTAATTTTTCAAGTGCTATCAGATCAGAAATTAGACACATTCTAAAAATGAAAGTCAGCAGAAAATCGAAGATAAAGCCTTCTAGAGCCGATTTTCGACTTTTTGCACATGTTGAACTGTGGCATTTCCGGTTTTGCAAAATTGTTCCAAAATATATTTATGCAACACGTTGCCACTACAGAAGGTCTATGATAGTTGAAAGGTTGTTGCAATTACTGCAGTCTAAGCACAGGAAGGTGTGTAAATTTAGAAAAAAAAAAAAAGAAGAATTTCGATAACGCTGAAAGCAAAGTCCCACAATTAAACTAACAAAACTTACCTTGGTTAATGTTGAAGTTTGATTGTGATTATATGACTTAAGTAGAATCCATGTAGAGCTCACATGCAGCCTACCCTAAGTGTTTTAGTAATGTGAGCTCTCATTTGTTAACTTATTTGAAAAAAGTTGACTTTAAATTCTGATGTTTGGACATGTGCAGTACTATCTCATGTGAGCTTTACATGGATTCTATTTTACTCATAGAATCACAATCAAACTTCAACTTTAACCAAGGTAAGTCTAATTTGATTTTTAAATTTACCTATGCAATGTTAGATGACCAAAAGCATTTCAATGCAATCGGCAATATCTGTTTCATCTCTTAAATTCGTCTGAAACTATTAGAAGACACCTATGACACCGTAAAAATATAAAGAATGGCACTTTAACTGACGTCATAGACATTATATTGTCATGATGTCATCAAATACAATTGCAATTTGAAGAAAAGACATTTGTGAGTGAGTATGCAAAATTTCATTCAATTGTGTTCAGAAAACTAAATTTTATTCACATTTGAATATAAGTAACTTACATTCCTACTCAACTGAAAACAAATTGTTATTAATTTGGCAAGTACTGTACATCAGTTGACAATTTAGTGAAATTTTTTGGCAGATGGAACAGAAATTCATTGATGGAATAATTCTCTCAAAGTTAGCAAGGACAACTGGTAAATGGGATGCTTGTTGGGAAAGTTATCAGATGTCCTGGAAGAGTTAACTCTCTCTGCCTTACTAGCTTTATTAAAAACAGTAATCATTAAAATTAAAGCTCAAATTCAATGAAGCAATGAGGAATATAAATACATAATTCTCAAACTGGTATGAATGATAACTGTCAATGGTTTATTATACCATATTAAGATCAGCTTGTGGTATAAGTTTATTTTACTAATGCATTATTCACCTTTGAATAAAGTGGAATGAATGTGAGATTTTCTCAGATTTTTTTTTAGAAGTAATGTGTTGTTTTGATTGTAGGTTTTTGGGATGATGTAATGGATTACAAAACAAATGAAGATAAAATATTAGATTGTATTCGTGATGAAATACGAGAATTATTACCTTTATCAGCTATCTCAGATGGAGAACATATTACATTCCCTAAAGTAGGCCCCGTAAGTTCAGTTTTATACGCCTATGTGCAATTTTGACATGAACTTTTTATCAACCTCTTTTACAAAATGAAAGATTTCCAGAATGGAACACACTGCTGTTAAGCAATGGCTATAGTTATTTTTATACACCCACATGGAAATTTTGACGTATATTGTCCTTGTCCATCCGATCTTGATGAAACTTGATGCATGTATATATGATCTCGGTCAAGTTTAAAATTTGAACAAACTGGATGATGGTTTTCAATTTTCAGTAAAAAGGCATCAAATTAGGATTGTAGATAATGTGTTTTAGTTTTTGATCTATTTTAAATTTAGATTAAAGATGCTCATGAACACATTTATAAATTTGAATACATAGTGTGTATATTGTCAAGTTTAAAATGACAAATTTTAAAAAATTGGTGTGACTTGGTTTGAATCTTACGTCTCAGCGGGTTAGGTCCTGGGTGTTGTTGTTTTTTCTGGGGTCACAACTTGAAAATTCATGTCTTAGTGAATCCATTCTTAGCTTGAGACAAGTCTTCCAGGTACGAGACTCTGTCTTTCTTGTTGTGTTGCATCGGCCTTGGTTCTCACTGGTTTGTGAGGAAGTTCAGTACTTGGGGATCAGTCTGAGTGGTAACTAGCTGCTGAAGGTGTTCCTCAACAAGTTCTGTCTGTCATCGTAAAGAATACTGGCCAGTATTTGCTGTTGTCTGGAGTTATATTCACTGAAAATGAGTGAAGAACTATCTTTTCCTCGACACATTGCGTGTAGAATTTTATCTTGATACCATTGCCTGCTATCTTACTGCAAATATGTTGCCATTTTTTTTATATTTCCGTCGCCCTTGTCCGTCTGTCTGTCCACCCGTCCACATTTGTTGTATGCACGATAGAGGCTACAGCTTTTATCTGATCTTAATGAAACTTGGTATGTATGTAATATATTGATGAGATCTCTGTCAAGTTCGTAATCTGTAATAACGGATGAATTGTTTCAAAGTTAATGCCCTCCGACTTAGTAAAAACGCGTTAAATTTGACTTGTATATACGATAAAGGCTGCAATTTTTATCCGTTCTTAATGAAACTTTGTATGCATGTATATATTGATGAGATCTCGGTCAAGTTCAAAATTGGTAATAATCAGATGAATGGTTTCAGAGTTATTGTCCTTGACTTAGTAAAAACGTGTTAAATTTGGCTTGTATGCACAATAAAGGCGAAAAAAAATTTCCAATCTTGATGAAGTTTAGTATGCTTGTATATATTGATAAAACCTCAGTCAAGTTCGAAATTGGTAATAATCTGATGAACGGTTTCAGCGTTAATGCCTGATGAAGGCCACAAGTTTGATTCCATCTTGATGAAACTTAATAGACATGCATATAATGATGAGATTTCGGTCAAGCTCAAAATAATTGGATGAACGATTTCAGGGTTATTGCCCTTGACCTAGTATAAACACTCTGTAGACTGCATTTTTTATCCGATCTTGATGAAACTTGAAAATATATTGATGAGATCTCGGTCAAGTTTGAATTTGGTCTTAATCGGATAAACGGTTTTGGAGTTACTGCCTTTGACTTTGTTAAAACGCTCTCAAATTTGGCTTGTATTCATGATACAGGGTGCAGTTTTTATCTGATCTCAATGAAACTTTGTATGCATGTATACATTGATGAGATCTCAAGTTCAAAAATGGTAATAATTGGATGAATGATTTTGGAATTATTGCCCTTGAATTAAATCAATGCGTCTAATTTGGCTTGTAGACAAAATAGAGGCTACATGGTTTATCTTATCATGATGAAACTTGGTATGCATGTATGCAAGATCTATTTCCCTTGAATTAGTTCAATGCATCCAATTTGGCTTGTAGACCTGATAGAGACTAAGATTTTTTTTATCCGATCTTGATGAAACTTGGTATGAGATCTCATTAAAGCTTGAAATTATTAAAAATCGGATGATAGGTTTCACATATTAAACCACTACAGACTTTGTTTTAATTTCTGACAGCTGGTAGTGGGCGTATGTTACCTTACCTGGCAAACTATCTTCTGGAAATTGGTAGGAGAGAGTCAAGCTTCTTGAAAGGTGGTTGGACATGTAGCCTTTTGTTGGGGTTTTCTTTCGATTGTATTTCCACTACAGTTATCCTGGATGAGTTGTCCACATTAACTGAATTGAGCGAAATGTTGCTTCCTTTAAAATGACGTTTCTTCCTTTCTTCTACCTGATTTCAAACTTTCAGGGAAAACTAAAAGTGAGTTTTTTACCCTTACTTTTAGAAGTGAGGTGGACTGAATACCAACTCTTGAGTCTCATACCAACCTCATTGATTGTTTCAACAGTGTGTTGTGTGGGAGGTTAGTAGGCTTGAAGAGAGGATCACAGAGTGTGTCATTTGGGGAGATGAAGTGTGGCCTTTGCCAGAAATTCACCTTGAGTCTTGCAGACGAAGCCTGGGGCTGTAGGAACATAAGATTAGAGTAAATCTCTGTTATCCTGACATAAGTTCCATGAGAATCAAAGTGTGTTGCTGGGACCTGAATTAGAGGCGGGTCTATTTGGGCAGATTGGTTTGCTATGCCATTATCCAATCCTGTTATTACCTTATATGCATAGGCATTTTGATTATCTTAGTCAAAGTTTGAATCTAAGTTTTCATTAGAGATAAAGATTGGCTAAGCGACCTGTTATCCCTGATTATCAGTGATTAGTTTCGTTCGTATTTGAACCCTTACAGACTGATTACTCACAGAACTTAAAACAGACCCTTGTAAGTGGGTTGGTGGAATAAACTGGACCAGCTCGAGGCCAGGTCAGTCCCTGTTCTGTCCGAAAATCAAAAAAGTTTTGAGATCCCTGTTCCGTGTGCTGCTGAACGGGAATGATGGCAGCAGGAACAGGGCCGGTCTGGTCTCGTGAATCCATTCTAGTTTAATTCTACGTCTTTCTTTGGTGGTCGTGTCAAGATCAGGGTCATGGTTTATGATTCTGATTAGATGGACAAAGAAAGGATCTGGGCCACGGCCGGGTTTATTGAAGTGTTTACTGACTGGTGTGAGCCTGTTTATCTGAATGTCGGCACAGTGTTCTTTTAGTCTTATGAGTGTTTTGATTCTCTGACATACTGCAGTCTGCAGAATTTGCTGGTGAGCAGGTAGACAATATTGCTAGTGTTGCAATCACAGGCTGATATACAGTTGTATCTTTTGCCAGTTGTGGTGCTACTTATCTTATTTTTTGATATCCAAAGGCACATATCGCAATGTTTGTTCTAATGTTCTGGCACACGGGTTGTGTCCAAGTGACTGTTCGTCCTGAGATGCCGGGTGTGAAGGGATAGGTAGGGCCAGTAACTAGGTCTTTTGAGAAGTTAGTGTATATTAACGTGACGTCTTACGAACGTCGTCAAGCAGCTGATACACATTAACGTCATGTTTGACTCTTTTATGTTTTGAATCTGTTATCTTTCTGAAGGTTTGCTTAAATACACGTTTGATATCAAACGATTCTGCTTCTTCGTATCTTATATTCTCACAAATATCTCACAAAACTAGTCAGAAGATTTGAAGATGGAAAACCAAGCGAAGATGTGGACATTGACGAACTCTGAGCCATTTTGGACTTGATAGTGAACAAACAGAACTTATTGTTGGACTTGAACACTCAAATTATCGTTGCAATATCAGATGAAGAGGAATTAAATACTGAGATTTCAGAAATAGATGAGTATGATGTAACTTTAGAGACAAAAATACGCAAAATGCGTGAATTATGGAAAAGCAATAGAACTTTTACACCAAAGATTCAGGCAAACACAAAAGATCACGCATACGTATATGCAAACTTTATTAGATTTAACACAGTTCAGTCATATCGCAAATATTACGACAAGTCAGAAACGTTAATCAGAGGCCCAGTCCTAACTTTTACTACCAAAAAAAGAGTATTCTGTACTGCCCATGGTCCAGTGACTATAATTAGTTGGTATGTCTTCTGTAAACAATATGTCATCAGGTCTTAACACCACAATAAATCTGCCCAATTAAAGTTTCAAAGTAAAGTTCTGCCCTAATGTTTGACCAGTATCATATTACATACATACACATCTTTATGACCTCCCTTACAATAACTTTTCTTATAGACCTTCATTCAATTTTTTAGAACCATTCTATAAACTCCTTGGTTTCTTTTGTATCTTGTTTTGAAATTATTCAATGTAAATTGTCGCCTATGGACCCCACTGAGGCCCCCACCCCCGTCCTTAATGAGTTGTTGTTTCTGTCTAAATGTATTTTACTGTAATGTAAAACACTTTAAAACCATCGACCATCTATGGCGCTTCAGCAATTTCTGTCATGAAAAGCGGCGATTTAGTTCATTCACTTACTTACTTGCTAATTTATGAGCACAGATTTGGAGATTTGGATGCATTTCCTACAAGAACTCATTCATAAAAATATTACCAGGTACTGTCAAATTATGAGTAACAATCTATTTATCTGAATAAATATACGTTAACCTCGAGACTTTTTATATGGTTTTGAAATGCTAAAACTTTGCAGCTTTTTAAAAATTGCAAAATTTTATCACATATTAAATTGTTTTTCTATAATTTTTTTTGTTTCTGAAATTTTCAATATAAATTTGTATCAAATCTGTCAAAGAGTAATGAACCATCACATTCCAGTTTTGGCTGTAATGGCCGCCAAGTGGTAGTAAAAGTTAGGACTGGGCCTACAATCAACGGGAATAAAGGCAAGAATCATTTGGGTCTTTCTTAATTCCAGTTATGCTAAACAAACTTCCAAATGGAATCACGGAAAACATTACACGTCAGCATGGTCTAAGAGAATGGTCCCTTGACGAACTCAGACAAAACTTGCTAAATGAAATATGTATATTGGAAGCTGGAAATAGAGTACACCTAGACACAGATGAACCGTTAGTTAGTACCGTGTATCTTACTAAAACAAACACTATGAAAGATAAACCAAAGAAACT